GCGGGCGGGGGGCGCTCCGTCAGAGTCCGCAGGTTTAGCACGCTCGGAACTCCATCCCCCGCCGGCCCCCGCGGCTGGGCCGTTGCCTCTTCCTGTAGAGGGGCCGGGAGCCGTGCGAGGATTTGGGAAGGGGAACTCGTTTTCCTTCCCAGGTTTCGGAGACCGAGCGCTCGGCCTGCTGAGGTAAAACACGTTCTCTCGCTTCCGAACTCGCCACCCAGGGAGGCCGAGGGATCCGAGGGGCGGCGGCGGGAAGGGCTGAGCTTGCGGCGAAGCCGGCTGTCACCTGGGACAGTGCTTTGGTGCAGCGCGTCGGAACGGTCCATCTGGGAGCAGCGGGGAGGCCAGAGCTTGCACGCGGAGACTGCTCGGGTGGGGCGCCGCGCGCTCGCATCGGGATCGAGTCCCAGAACGTCGGGGAGTCCTGCGGGGGCCGTGGGGGTCGGTGAATGCTGGAGCCTTAGGGGATGGACACCCTGAACCCGGGAGGGATGAGGGAGCAGGGGAACTGGGGGCTTGCAGGAGTGGGAGCTCGGCTCTCTGTCCTGAGCAGGTTAGCGCTAGAGGGAGGCGAGGGAGGAGGCCCCTTCATTTCTTCACTATGAGCGCAGGTGCGGTAGGGCCGGACCTGGGCTCCCCGCTCTTCACAAGGCTGGGTTGTGAGAGGGAGGGAGTGAATGTCGTGGTGGTGGGCGGTTTGCCATCTCAGCTGTCTTACCATAGAATGGCAGCGCTGGAAGAAGCCCTTGAGAACTGCTGGGCTAGCACTTTCTACCTCACTGAGCAGATGAGGAAACTGAGGCCGTGACTTTGTCCACTGTATAACCTGTTAGTGACCAGCTTCCCTATACCTGATGGTCCTGATTCCAGCCTGCGTCTGTCCGTTGCGGGGCCGGCAGGTGGTGTAGTGGTCAAGGCGCTGGACTCCCACAGGCCCACCGCAGTTCCAGTCTGAGTCTGGACCAGTCGCTTAAAACTCCAGGCACATATGGATACCTGCCCAAAATCCGAGGAGGAGAATGGAAGAGAAAGGATTGAGGGGTAGCCATCCTTCCTGGGGGGCGATTTCTCGCTTTCTG